CAAAGCACAGACATTACTTACTAACTCAGCGGTGATGCTGTCAGCTCTCTCCTGTCTTCCTCCTAGAGACAAACTTGTAATAACTGAATTTTCGCTTGGGTTCATAAGATCCTGCTCATATACGCATAAAACAAACCAAGCCTTACCTCATAGGTAATTCAGAGTTAAGACAGTCTATGAAAAAGCTGCAGTCAGTGGAGGTACCATGGGTTTCCTTCTTTGCACAGCAACTCTTTTATACAGCAGTAACCTCCATCACAAGCATGTTGCAGCTATTAATGGTTTAATTTATATGCAAATTTAGAGTTACATAATTGCTTCTCTTCATGGAAACATCTAGACAACAAAAAACTGGTGTTTTTCTTGTTTTATTCTACCTGTGTCTCAGTTATCCTGCTGGTTGAGAAGTATGTCACTGGGCATACAGCAATAAAGCAGGAATATTTTGACTTTTTAGGAAGACTGTAATCTTCTGATTTTGTTGTTGTTGTTGTTGTTTATTCATATGGGCAATGCACTGATTTTGTTTTGGCTTATTTAAACTCCATAAGGAAGCTAAAAGTAGAGGTTTTTATGATGTAATAGTTATATCTTGAGAAATACCCTGCCTGAGCAAATGCCACATGACAGGGATCCCTATCACCTTGTGTAACTCCCCACTTCACAGTTCTCCTTAGTTATTGACTCTAGATTTGGAATTACAAGAAATGGCAAGATCTGCCCCAACATTGTCATAAAGAGAAAGCACAAAAAAGCCCATGAAGACACAAGAGACTTCATATGTCAATTATGATAATTAACTGCAGGTGATCAAGTGATTCTCAAAGGTGTTTTTCATGCAGTTGTGATGCTATGCATAACATCTAATACTTTTGCAGCTTTTGATATCTTTTATCCTGAATCCTGAAATAAGTACCTGTTTTGTTACCCCCAACAGTCTCCAGGCAGGCTCCACACCTGCACAAACACAGGTGGCACTTGCCTCAGAAACTTTGTAATGAAATGCCCATAGATAGTACAGTTGGAGGATACAAATGCAGACACTGCCATGTACTAAGCTGAGGTTTGATATTTTATGCAGAATAGCTTTGTTTCTTGGTAAAGGAAGTCTTTTTCTTTTCTCCTCATCTTTGCATATTTCATGGAGAGCAGATGCTCTGGGCTTGCGTGCACACTGCTTCTTTCTAACTGGCCTGATCCCAAGCACTCTTCATTTTTATGAAGCCACATCCTTCTCAGTCTCTCCATTATGAGAGTGCTCTTGTCACTTCCTCCCTGTTCAGTAGTGGTTATCCTGCTGCACTTAGCTTCTGCCCCCACCTGTGGAAAGGTTGTCTCTTCATGATCTGCTCTCTCTAAGTCTTGTTCAGGGAATTGTCTCAGAAGCAAAACTGACAAGACAGCAATGGAAAGGGGGTGGGAACCCCTGTGAGGATTCTCCCACTATCCTCTTTCCCAGGATAAAAAAAGAGCATGGATAAAAGTAAATGATGTAATAGCCTCTTCTGCCACAGAGCACAAGGTGTAACTAAGCCTAGGGACATAGAAGTAATGTTGAAAATGCTAATGCCTTAGTGGACTTTTGAGCCATCTTGATAAAAATTAGTGGCTAAAGCAGAAATGTTGCAGAGTGGAAATGTCAGTGATATGGGGCAATCCAAGTGTAAAGAGAGCAGGTGAGGCATAAGCTTGCACTTGAATTAAGCAGGTGTGTTGGCTGAATTAATTTCTGCTGGAATAGCATACAAAACATCAGCTCTCCAGCTGCTGAATTTGTGAGGTATTTCGAATTGCAACAGATATGAAAGCAAAAAGACATATTCATGGTTATTACAATTGTTAGTATACATGTGAAAGTTGTTTTTTAGAGATTTTATTAATATTTAATTTGTGAATTAATGAATAAACCAAGGATGTATAATCCAAAGCATGGAAAAAAAGTTTGTTATTTCCATTGTAGTTGTGGTAGATGTGGTGCAAACAGCTTTTACTGTAAATATTTCATCTCTATTATAATATCTAATAGTTAACAATCCGGTCACTTTTATTAACAATTTACTGATAACCTAAATGGATTAATATAACTTTTATACATTTACAAACAAATTTTATATAGACACATAAATGTATATGCGCATATATGTGTGATAGGCACATATATATACTCTTTTTTTTCTTTTTCTCCTAGGGAACTGATGAAATGATCATACAAATAGTTGAATAGTGTAATTTTTTTCAGCAGTTTCAATAGAAGGAAAAGAAGAAGTAGTGATGGAAAGAAAAAAAAAGGGTCTGTTTTACATTTCATTTGATTGCTGGGAAATGACAAGTGAAATTTCTGTAGCTAATTAATTTTGTTACAGATGTTTCTAGTTCATATAGCCACATTCTGAGCAGGGGCAATTGCCCTAGTGCCATTGACTTCCCAGTTCCTGGTCCCCAATGAGTCTAATAAATTACTCCAATTTAAACGTGATTAGGAGTGATTCCTGCAGTGATACATTCCAAGAATCAAAGAATACATTCAAGATTTCCTAGACTCCTGCAGTAATAATGAAGAAAACATTCACCTCATTGTTTTGTCAGCTGGGATCCTTGTCTTGCCTGTGGAAAGAATCTGTGTGGAATTTCTGGGGTCAATAAAATTCTTTATTTGAAAAGGGATGATGAGGGATGTAACAGGATGGATAAAAGAGCCATCAATCTTTGAAGCACAGAATGTCATTTGCACTCATCTTGGTAACTTATTGACAGTCAGTATGGCTCTGTGTGAAATTTACATGTCAGACACAAATTTTGCAGTACTTCAGTGTAAGAATATTTGATTCATAAGTCCCCACGACCCATGAATTTCTAATAGTATCTGGAAATAAATGTAAATGTTATGAGCATGCTTTGTCCCCATTTATGTATGAATCCCTCATCTAAGATTTTAGCAAAGAGTTAATGAAAGGACATAAAGATATTTACTTAGCAGAGGAAGGCATGGGCTAAACTCAAAGTCCACTGAGTTTTGGATTTGTACAGTGGATTGGTGGCTAGTGAGTACTTCAGATATACCATCAGTTAGAACGGGTTGTGTCATTTGCTTACATAGTAATGGAAGTAAGAATTATGGCTTTTTGTTCTGCCACAGAAAAAAAAAAATCTTCTCAGGTTGGATTATACCAAGCTAATGATAACTAACCATATCAAACTAATTATTTGGCAAGACAATCACAAGATTGTGCAAATGTCCTTAGGATACCAGTTATGGCCTGGGATCCATTGAGATCTGGCTGCCATCAGGATCTGCACAGTTGCACAGCAATGTGTCGGGCTGGTGAGGTGTAGTTTAAATACAGTGATTTACCAAACACCCATCTTGGGCCCTGCTGGAAGTGACCAGTGACTCCTGATTAGTTTAAATGGCTCATAAAATGGGCTCGTGTTCAGGTCCTGGATCAGTAATTGCTGAGGAATTCTATCCTGGTATTCATTTAACACAACAGAGTGAGATGAGCTTATGCACAGATAGACCCCCGCCTTGGCTGTGGTCTACAACTGGTTCTTCTGAAAGGACCAGCTCAGGGAAAGATGTAAGAAGTAGAAATAACTAATCTCAGACTAGTACAGATACTGAAGGCATGCAGAAGATCGTTTCCTTAAAAGAAAAATTGTATTTTGTTCATTTTAGATATTAGTTAATATTGAAGTTAGTCTCAACTCATTTAGCGCAAGTCTTAAGCAAAATTTTGAAAGGAAGGACTGTTCTACTGAAAATTCATGTCTTTTTAGTCCTCTTACTCTGCAATCTTCATACATCAGATTACTCAAGAGAGGACTGTATGGGTGCTGAGGCAGTAGGGGTGATGTTTCCTCTGCTCTTGTCCCTATCCTGATCCCTACCCTTCATCACAGTCGCATTTCATAATGTGACGCTGTGCATTCCTCCAAAACCACGAAGGAGAAAACACTGCCTTGGACAAACGCTCCACTTGGCAGTAAGCACGATGTGCCAAATCTGGTCACCGAAAATGGAGGAAGAAGAAAATAGCTTGCACTACACCTCCTGAAACGGGGGCTGTCGCGTTTTCCCTCGGTCCCTCTCTTTTGTCGACACCGTTGCGCAGGGCCTCCTGGACCTTCTCCAAAGAGACAGCCTGCCCTCAGGAGCCCTGCGACCGCCCGCTAAATCACGGCCCAGTCTCGGGCCGGGCCG